CTTTTAAATACTTATAATCCAGTTTCATTATGAAAATTTATGAAACGACAATGTATGAAAATTTCTAGTAACAAAATTGTTTCAAATGTAAAATTGCTGTGATCTCAGCGTAATTATCAATAACACAGGTTTCTGACATATCCCGAACTCACTAAGCGACGTTTCAATGCTACCTGCATTGACAGTAAAATCAATACTACCGACACAGCTCTATAGATTAATTAATCAGTTTTAAATTATACGTAGATGAATATTCTTAATGAAAAATACTTAAAAAATCCACTTTGCCCCTGATACTCTGAAATGGGATTCGAAACCACGATCTTTCGCAATCCGGGCGACCGCTCTAACATTCGTGGAGCTCCACAGCGTAGTGGTCAAAGTGCTTGGTCAACGATACAGTTAATAGCACAACGATACAGTTAATAGTTAAATTGCTTAATAGCAAGGGTAATAATAATGAACTTTGGCAAGGGCCGGTCATAGGATGGGTGACCAAAAATATAGTATCGCGAGCCAAAGTCAAAAGTCAAAAAATTCTTTATTCAAATAGACTTCTTAAAAGTATTTTTGAATCGTCCAACATTCTTTTTCCCTACCACTCGTTCAGGACGGCGTGCTTCTCCAGCCTGTTTCGGAAGGCTCGTTAGCCTTCCGAAACAGGCTGCATTTGCAGTGGTGAACACATGTCATGACCCATTATCCCGATTTCATCCGACGGGAAGGCCTGAGCCCCAGCATTGGAGACATTAATAGACTGGTGACAATGATGATATAACACTTACAGTATTCTATACTACAATTGTTCAACAGCCTCTAACTTGATCGAGAAAAACGCTGCCATAAAGTAATAATTCAATTAATCAAAATCTACTTAAAATGTAATTAAGGTTTTATTACATTGAATTTCTATCCTATGACACTGATAAACTAGATAGCTTTTTATTGAATAGCATAATTGAGATGCCTATATTCACTTCGCATCGCTGAGCCACTAGGTGGTAGTTATGTTTTGACGTAACGATGACGTAAAATTAATATGGTGTAGTGAATGAGTTATCACGTTATAAATAAAAATGAAACGCTGTTGGTGAACATATTAGGGTGCCCACACATTAGGACGATGTGAATTAGATTTGTTACGGAATATTTTATTTTATTATCAATTAGGTATTTTTTTTTATTATTAAGTATCAAGAATAAGTTAAATAATATCTTTAAAATTATATCTCCACCATTGGTTTCGCCCGTGTGGTCGTTAGGGTACAATTTAGTGGAGAAAAACTAGCCTATGTATTTATATATATATATGCTGCTATATATATATATATATATATATATATGTGTTATTTTAGGCTTAGAATAATCCTTTTTTCAGATTTCATTAAAATTAGTTACATATTTTTTGCATGAAAGAGTGAGAAACATACATATCCTTTCGCATTTATAATATTAGTAGGAGAATCTTACGAATTTAATATATATATAGTTTATATTGTACCTTTTCCTTATGGCTGACACTTAGGTGACCGTGTTTGGTTCGCCGTGACTGCCTCTGAGATATGAATTTTTCAAGAACTTATTGCTATCACAGCCGGCCAGTATATTTCCATCAATGTTAATGTAAACTACATAAACAGTCTAATGATAGTGAATTTTGAATGTTTTGTGAATGTTAATATTTATGTATCTTAGTATTTCTCTAAGAAAATTAAATTTGACAGTACCGCTACTAATATTATGTTGGGTAAAAAGTATTTTCGCATATAATCTTTCTGGCTATACCATTTGTATCTCGCTGATTTCGGTATCATAAAAAAGTTTAAATTTTAAATAACATAACTTCGAATTCAAATTAGGAAAATGTGTGATTTTTATTTGTTTTTCTTACTGTCAAAATTAGTGAGTCTAATGAAGAAATTCAATACAAATTATAATTTTATTACAAAAAGGTAAGAATACAAAGCAAGCCACGAAAAAAAATTGTGCTGTTTCTGTGATAGTAGCACAAATTTGGCTTAAGCGATTTCAGTCCCGAAATTTTGATGTCAAAGATGCACGTCGCACCTGTCGGATAAAATGATTGCCATTTTTGAAAAAATGGATCAAGTTAAGACATATCAGTAGTTACGACGTAGCTGAAGAACTGGAAATTGACCACAAAACAGTTTTGGTGCATTTGAAAAAAACTGAGTTCACAAAAAGTTGCATGTTCGGATACCTCACGATCTCACTTAAAGATACCTAATGAACTGTGTACTCATTTGTGATTCTTTACTACGGTGTAATGAAACCGAACCATTTTTGTAGAATCTGATACCTGTTTTTTTAGAAATAGATCACGTACGACAAGAACTTGCGAAAAAGGTCATGTTCAAAGGTCGGTCAGGGTTCACAGACTGTGGCGAATCCCTGTTTAACTCACAACAAGGTGATGCTGTGTGTATGGTGGGATTGGAAGGGCATTGTTCATTATAAGCTGTTACCGCCAGGCAGGATTATCGATTGTGAACTCTACTGCAAACAACTGATGCGATTCAAGTAAGAAGTTCAGAGAAAGCGGCCAGAATTAATCAAATAAAAGGAGTGTGGACTTTCATGTTGATAACACTAGACATCTTTTGTCACTCAACAAAAATTAAGAGATTTGTCTGGGAGGTGTTAATGCATCCGTCTTATAGTCCTGACCTTGCACTTTCAGATTTCCATCTATTTCAGTCTCTTCAGAATTTTTAGGCAGTGTTAGGTTAACATCACGAGAGGACTGCCAAAACCACTTGTCGCGATTTTTTTATCAGAAGCCCCAAAATCACTATAGCAATAATATCAAATCCCTACCTACGAGATGGCAAAAAGTAATCGAATAAAATGGCGCCTACGTACTTTACTTAAATGTAAATAAACTATATTATTGTTTTCTTTTTTTATTTTCTTATAAAATGCGAAGGTAAATTCCTGTTATTATAAATGCGAAAGTTACTCTGCATGTTACCCTTTCCTATATAAAACATATTAACAAAATTTCGTACCGGGATAGTGATATCCTTCGAAAGGGAAATCGGTTACATTTTATCGAAGGATTTGAAATATGGAATTATCGTTTGTATGAAAGTTCGTTGTTGAAATTATATGCGGACGAAGTCGCGGGTAAATTGAAATTATCATTATTCCGTACTGGCTTTTATGCATATCCGATTTCTGTTTCAATAAACATTGCGACGATTAAATAAGTCACTCGTTTGACAGCTGTGTCACTCCGCTTGTTATTAATAATATCTTTGGCATCTATTCAGTGGGTATGTTTCCTATTAATACATTATTAGACTCTATTCGTGGAATGTTTACCGTGTACCGGTGACGTGTAGAGACGCTATCAATGACTCTATGTAAATATAGGCGAAGAATTTGGAAAACATCATTTACGTTGCCGTTGGATTGAGCGATTGGTTGTGATCAATGTTGAAACCAAACTTAATGGTGGTGGAATGAGCGCGCTCGGTCTACGATACGGTTGCCAAGCCACTTTTCCTAGAGCGGGGCATGGGATGGGTGACCAAAAATGTATTGTCTATAGTTCCTCCGTGCTTCGGAAAGCTCTTGAAGCCATTGGTCCTGGCTGCGTCTACGATCGTTAACTCTCACCATCCGCACTGGGCTGGCGTGGGCGATGGTCCCTTCTCCGATAGGGAAGCCTGAGCTGTCGCCCGGATTGCGAAAGGTCCTGGGTTCGAATCCCATCTCAAAGTGCCAGGGACCAAGTGGATTTTTTAAGCATTTTGTATTAAAAATATGTTTCAGTATAGCGCTGTGAATGCGAAGATAATTAATTATAGAAATATATCCGTTTCATTCTAGTGCATGAGACAATATGCTTGTGTTTTTTTACAAAATCGCAAATCAAAGCAGGCAAACATAAACAAATATCGAATATTTTCTTTAATACCTTCGTAAGAGTAATAAAAAAACATAACATGCATGTAGTTACTGTTTAGAATCTTAATAGAGTCCGGGAAACTGTAAATGGTTTACCATCGTTAAAAATAATAATAATATTCTTTATTCAAGATAGAAAAAAGAGAAAGATTACAAAGGACGACCTTATTGCTACGTAGAATCTCTTCCATGCAACCCGAGGCAAAGAAAAACATGAACTATATAATAAAAAGGGGGGGTTGCAAGATGGAGAAGTAAATAGATAAATCTGTATAATGTAATATAGTAAATAAAATAGATAAAGATAAAAAAATCATGAAACATAAATTCTAATAATATCCAAGAAATGGCACAGGTCTTTCTTCAGACCACCACCAGCCCTTTTACGTCCCCAATGCAGGGGCTCAGGCCTTCCTTATGAATGGTTAAGGAGGATGGGCCATGACCCTCCACGCTGACCCAATGCGGATTGGAGGGTATTAACGACTGCAAATGCAGCCGGGACCAACGGTTTAACGTGCCTTCCGAAGCACGGAGTAGCTCAAGATAATAATTTTTTGGTCACCCATCCCGTGACCGACCCTTACGAAAGTTGCTTAACGACAACGATCGCAGGCCGCGGCGCTTATACACTACGCCACCGAGCTACTTCAGACGGATGGAATCATAGGAAGAACGGGCCAAAACTAGGACCCAGAACGTATTTGTGCCAATAACGACTCCAAATGCAGCTGATCCCAATGGCTTAACTGACCTTCACTGAATGACATAGATTCGGACACCTGACACACAATTCAGGTTTGAATTTTTACAGAATCACAGTGTATTCGGAAAACCTGACATTCACAAAAGCAAACACAAACTGCCCAGCAGAACTAAAATTGTTTCTCAGAGCTTGAATATACATTGATATTTATTTTAAGAACAATTATGGTATTACGTACTTGCTTTTCTGGGTCGATATGTAAGTCGCGTTCGGGTATGTGAATCAAAATTCCTTTAAGAACATTTGAGGCTAGGTTTTGAGATCTTCTTTTAACTTTATTTATCTTTCTCTATGGTTTCAGCACTAACAGTCCGTTTCCTGACCAAGCGATACATCGGGGAGTATGATCACCAACAAGGTAATATAATATATAATAAAGATAATATAAATATTTCCTAATTTTATGAAAGAGAACTTCTAGAACGGAACGCGTGATGACAGTCAATAAATAAATATTAGGGAACATCAGAACATTAGTCAAATTCCAAGATGAGTAGCTAAAGCACAAATGGGATATTCAAGACAAGGAAGGTACCACATCACCCAGACGCGAGACAATATAGGAAAATCCTACATTGATGTGACCGGGAATCGAACCCTACTACTTCAGAGATGGTGATACTTTGAATCTGGCGTGCGTACCACTAGGCTCTGGAGGTGGCCTACAACTCAACGAAAAGCACACTGCTGTCTGAGCGTAGAATTCCAATCAAATAAAAGTAGTCTTCAAAGGGAATCAAATTTTTACCATACCTGATTGGAATATCATTTCTTTCATTCGATATGCTACACGTATCGTGTAGATATTATGTTTATTTACTAAACTATTATCAAAAAATAATTCCAATTGTAAAATTAATTTGCTTTAACAGTCTTGTAAATCTTCGTGTCTAGGGACACTATCTTCTAAAATACAAAAGACTGACTCTGCGCTGTTTTAGAACGAACGTTGGTAGAATTAAACAATCCCTGCTTTGTTATTCTGTAACAAATCAGCATCGAATATATATATGGCTGAATCTAGAGAAGAGAGGCAAATGGGAGCACGAGCAAATTTTTGCCCCAGTTCAAAAAAAAATTGTGGGTGGTCCAACGTGACGCCGGTCTAGTTCAACGCTGTTGCACCATAGAAGTTCAATGAAATGAAACCCTATAATACCTTGTCGTGATCGAGTCTTAAACAAACACGTCAAAAACGTTCACCACTTACTTATAACAATTTGTTTTTAACAGATAGCAAGTACAAACATGAAGCTATGTTGGATGGTGAACCTATTCTATTTGAAATCTTAGACACTTGCCCAAAGGTCAGTAAAGGATACACATTATTATTACTCGTAAAATACATATTTATATAAAGTATTTCGTCATCAGCAGCCTATTAATGCCCCTTACTGCTGAGGCTATAATCTACCACGCGTGCCGAATGGGTATTATTGACTACAGATGCAGCCAGAACCAATGGCTTAACGTGTCTTGAAAAACACGGTGGAACTCTATAATCTATATAATAATTTTAATAACCTATTATTATAATTTAATGACGGCCCTGCGAAAGCTTAACCTTCACACGGTAAACCAAACGCGCTTACTACAGCGCTATCAAGCTCCTTGTATTACATATACAGCAAATTCAGAGGGCAATAATGAAACGTATCTAAAAAGCATCTTACGCTTATTAACTCCTAGGGTTTCCAACCTTTTCTTGGCCAATTGCAAAATGAAACTCAATGTACAAATGTTTCAAGCATTTTTCGCGATCTCGAGATGATGAGTTCGAAATGGACGTGTTATCTGACTCCTCATTATTTCAAAGATTAAGTTACTCTTTTGGGGTTATTACACATTTTCTTGATAGTTGATGTAATACATCTTGTTTCAAAGATTCGGCCTGAAATCCCACTGTTAATAAAAAGTAAATGCACATACTTTTTCAGAGTTTTGCAATTTTCACAGAGCATAGAAGATCTTCCTGGGAACGAAGTAACCCAGTGGGCTGACTGTCTGTTCCTGGTGTATTCCATCACGGACCGAGAGTCTTTCAACTACGTCCGTCGTGCCAAGCAAAATCTGCAACCTGACATACCTCTCACCCTAGTAGGGAACAAAGCCGATATGGTTCACTTAAGACAGGTGATTTTCATAGCAGTAAAGTTTCCGCCGAATAGACAAATTTAATTCACATAGGCACAGAAGCAAACTATGCAGTAATATACATAAAAGAAAAATGTATTAATAAACCTATGTGACCTGTCAACTTTTGTTGATAACATCATTATCTTCTCTTATTTTTTAATCTTCCTAACTTCTACAAAAAACTTTCCGACATACTACCTAGTAACCTACTTACATAAGATGTATTTTATTTTCTAGGTCAGCCCAGAAGAAGGCGAAATCCTAGCCAAAGATTTCGAATGCACATTCGCGGAGGTAGCAGCGGCTGAGCAAGTTAACCAAGTTGGGGAAGTATTCCATGAACTATGCCGTGAAGTTCTGGCGTTACGACGACGTGCTAAGCACAGTCTTCTGGACCGTATGCTAGGATCGAAGACCGCGTACCGTGTCTATTCTCGAGGGAAGAGTGATAGCGCCCTACCCAAGGAATAGAAGGAGGGTCAGAGCGTAACCGAGGGCTGTTCTTGGTGGTGTTTCCCTTACTAAAGTGAAATTCACTTTGTATCAAGATTGCAGATCCTGTTTTATTCTTAAAGTACTCCTACGGTTCGTTAAGTATCAGCTTTGTCTGATGGTTTTTTCTTGCTGCAATGTGAAACTGTTCGACTACTCTCGCTATCCTTAACTAATGTATTACATTACGACACATGACTTTTTGTTTCTTCCGACACTATGTTTTCTAATATACCCATATGGAGAATGTTATTTTTTATTTAGTACTTTGAGTAAAGATAAGATCTGCAGTCCAGGATCATATTAGAGGGAAACTCACCAAACTTACCTCGATTACGCTCTGACTTGATGAATCTTCGATTTGTTACGAGCGATTATCGATAGTTTCGTTCGTACATAATAATATAAGTATGTGATGAGACAATTAACTTATATAAATACAACTACCACACGGAATGTGTGATGACTAAAACTGACTATGACTTACACGAAGAATGAAAGGACTCAGAAAGCAACTATGAACAATGACTGAATAGAACAGAAACAGAATATATCATACATTTAAAGGTAAAAACTGTTATGTGTTATGCTATTCTGTAAAAAACAGCCTCAAATAGCTGACAAAAATAGTAAAGTAATCGTTAAGAGTACGAATAAGGGTAAAGCTGGTACGCCTTTGAAAATGACTTTATTACTGAGAATAATTCAAATATTAGTATAAAAGTTTTAAAATGTATTTTAATTGCAATTGTTTTTATATTTTGTAGGTTTTGCCTTTTGACATATGTATTGTAGTTATAAAATTTACTATTTTCTATAGGTTTATTAAGTGTAATAGGTTTAGTTGTAAGCTTTACATACAAAACTATTCTTCCATTATTATTACCAACATAATTAAACAAATAAAATACAAAACAATTATAACAGTTTTAACCTTTCTTCGATCACGATGTTTATGTAGTAATATATCAAAATATTATGTAAATAGATGTTTGATACATCATGGAACTTCTCCTAAATGTGTTAAATGTTATCGTTAAGTACTTTTAAACTATAAATATTTGTATCTAGTTATAGCATAATATTTACGGATATATTTTTTTCTATTTTCGTATTACTTTCTACTACTATTATGAATGATAAAGTTTATGAGAATGGATGTATACAGGTACTCAGAATAATAACTTTAGTTATTATTTAACTTTAATAACTACAGTTAACTAAAGTTTTTATTCTAAGGTACATACTACCCTTAGAATATCACAGACATATGTTTGTTTGTTTCTCTTTCATGTAGAAACTACTGAATAGATTCTGATGAGGTATATGATTATTTTTTATTCAATTATTTGTACCAAAAACATTTTATAAATTAAAAATATCTTGTCTTAAATGTGTAATTAATTGATATTACTAGAATATTACTGTACAGATCGTAGAAGACTAAATCTATTTATGTACTTCGAATAGAAATTATTTAACAATGTAAAGGTATGTTATTAATGGTCAGACTTACATAAAACAGTACCACATTTTTACCACTTTTACCAAAGTTTGTTAGGCAGGGAAAGTTTGCAATTAGTATAAGTATATAAAAAAACGTAGGAAAATGTATGTACATACATTTTCCTACGTTTTTTTTATTTCACATTATTTAATGTTTGTTAACATTTTCAAGTTTCGTAGGTAATCTGATAGAATCCAGGTACGGATATTATTGTTTTTTAAAAATTTTTACTTCTCCGTCTCTCCTTCAATAGTACAACAGATTACAAAAAAGAAAGAAGATATTTTTAATATGATTACAGTTGCGAACACAATATTTACATATCTATAAACGACTCGTTAATGAGTACTCGCCCGCAGGGTACAGATGCTCGGATTATGACATCTGAGGACTCCTTACTTTATAGCATGATATTATAAAAAAATCATTCGTGCCTAGCTTTTCCCCAAAGGCATACTGAGTGGATTATTTCAATAACAGATGTCAGAAAAAAAGATCAAATTATCAAAAATATGTATTTCAAACTGTCAAAGTTAGTTAAGCGTTGTACACTAAGCTGCCTGTAGTAAACTATAATGTGCAGGCTAGTGTAATATATGACATAATGACAAGCAAAACAGCAGACATATTCTTAAACGCAATCCCAATGTCAATTTCAATGCAATCCAATAATCTTTTTCATCAAATCTTATCTCATACTCTTGAAACATAAGACTCAATACTTAAGTACTCAATGTCTATTAGTTTACTCAACAATCACGCAATATTAAGCCAATAGGCTAGTTGACTACTTTTATAAATAAATAGTTCATTAATATCTGAGTAATAATGTAGAAGTAACAGCATATCTGCGATTAATAGTTTCGGAATTACTGCGCTATGTTTGTGGAACTGCTGCTAGTCGGCCAAAAACGCTCTCTACAAATTCAAGCCAGGAAGTGACGTCACGCCTTGCTACTGTAGAGAAAAACATGGGCGTCTGAGCAACCTTCGTAATATCTGTTACTTGTGCGTTAATTTTTGCAAATTTTTGTAATTATTTTCCCTACTTTTTTCAAGTTTTCAAAGCGTAATATTATTCAATTTAGTGTTATAAAATTAATATTGTTAAATACTTTTAAATCAATATGGTTCATATTTTTCGAACCTAAACAGACACCTTTTTTTTCTAAGTAGTACTCAACCCTATTGGCGTTAGTGTACCAAATCAAGAGTATGAAACGTCGCAAAGTCGATCGATTGCAATTACGTTCAAGAGTAAGTCCGCTGGACCATCAAACTCAAAATCTACCCTCAACAAAGTAGAGAAAGTTGACAGATTTACAAAAATTGACATGCTGTTGATGAATCAAATTGATCGAAATCGATTGTGTAAGAAACTATATTATTATATAATTAAAAATGAATAAAGACATGTCCTAAAAAAATATAAAAATCATACAGATTGTATTAAAAACTGCAATAAACTATATAATAATATGCAATATACTTGACTAACTTTATATTGCAGTATATTGTATAGCATTTTAATATATATTATGCATTTTTATATTATAAAAATAACTTTATTTAAGCCAGTAAACTATTTTAGATTTTCCGTATACATTCTCCCGTATAATTATTTCAACGATTTATTTGTACTTTTATTTTTATGATTAATTATAACAAATTTTAGACAGCATTTCGTTATAATTCGGGAACCGATCAATTGAAATTTTACACGTCATAGATGCGCTACAGCCTCGCATCTAAAACGCATGTTTAAAACAGCGTTTTAAGACTCAATAGTCTGCCTCGTTTTTTTTTTAATCTTGACGTACTGTCTGTAGGTGTGCATTCTAACGGAATATCCGTCAAGCCTATCTGACGGAAGTGCGTTACTATACCACGTTACTTCTTCTTCTTCTTCTTTTATTGATGGCTTATCTGTGTATTTTGCACAATTCTGCCAATGTCAAGTCACGACGTAACTTACGCCGGCTGTGCAAGGTGAATGTCGTTCATATATTTGTCAGTTCTGACCTGTGGTTTTGACGTTCTACGACCGACAATGACATTGGCAGAATTGTGTGAAATGCGCAGATAAGCCATTAATTAAAAAAAGAAGAAGAAGAAGACAAATGACGCGGCGCATTTTAAAATGTTACATGCCAACAAAACGCTTGTGCGAGACGCTCGTATCTGTAATGACTAATCCTACGAATTAACTTGACCACTGAAGTCCGAAAACATCCTTATTTTCTATAATTGAACTCAAAAAGACGCATTAGTTGATCATTTATGATCCTATGGAAGTCGGACCTGCCACTTCCTCTGACGCACAGGTAATCTTCACGGATATAATTTTAATAAATATTCAAAAATTTTTCGATTTTTCGTTCGAATACAAATAGGCCAGTTATAGTAATTGAAATAAAATGAAAATATCTTAATTCAAGTAGGCTTATATACCCTACCACGTGGTCAAAACGTCTTTTAGCTGACAAGAAGAACAAGCAAAAGAAACTTACCAGCTCTATATCATAAATAAAGACATTCACATAAATCATGTCATTAACAAAATAATATATATTATCACAAAAATAAACACAACTTTCAAAGCTTGTAGGTCATAGGTTGTACATATAATTAGTCGTTATAGAACAAAGCGAAGGCTATTAACTCCGTGCATTGCGATCCTTATAATAGTCATCAACTTTACAATAGCCTTTACTCATAAGTGTGTTCTTTACATGAATTTTAAACTTATTTATGGGTAGGTCAATTACCTTTTTGTGGATCTTTATTGAACACAGTAATGCATTTACCTAGAAATGAACCTCTGTTTTTCTGAAGTCTGAAGCTTGGAACGGCAAATTTATTTTTATTTCTTGTGTTAAGATTATGAACACTACTTTTTTGTGAAGGAGTCGTAATGTTTTCTATGAACATTGAACATACTAATTTCTGGGTTGGATTTTTTGGTCGTAGAAAATATATTTATAATATTTATTTCTGTAATAAATTATAAGAATTTAAACTTAAAAAAAACATAATGTGAATTATTTTCTAGGATTCAGTTGTATATCCAAATATATAAATCCAAAGATGTAAATTTCGTAGATAATAAATATCAACAATTATTGTATTTAAAACTTTATATGCATTTTATGTGGTATATATAGTTGTAAACTTTTCTTAATAAATTGATGATCAATACGTTTTTTATTTATTGAGATAAGAATAACTTAATTGCCATTTTTTAATAATTACAGTCAGCATATTAAAAAAAAAACAAAATTAATTTAGATATGCACGAGTACGTATCTTAACAGAATTATACTTTCAATAAGTTTTAAAATCAAATGCTTGGCTACTACAGTTACCAGGCCCGGATCTAGGGGATCAAGTGGGAGCACGTGGCCCGGATGCCAATGTCAGGTGTAAAAAATATGTACGTCTGAGGAAGGGCGGGGGGGCTGAAAAGGCCCAAAACGAGTTTCTACCCAGATTGAAAAATGTTGTAGATCCGAGCCTGACTGCTACTATAAACGTATTCATATAATGATTATTCGTACTCTTTATAGAACTGTAGTAACTCTTTCAGCCTGTAACTTCCAAAGGTCTATGATGTTCCTAGTTTTAGAGCTTTTATATCTTACTAGCTTTCCGCCAGCGGCTTCGTCCGCATGGTCCCTAGGGAACTGTTTATTTGGATCAAAGCCAAAATTATTTATTCAGTCTAGGCTGTTAAAAGCACTTGTGAAAGTCGAGAGCTACGCCATCGGTTAGTAAATCTACGGCGGGAGACCTTGTACCGAGAAGAACCGGCAAGAAACTTGGCAAAGGCTGCTTTTTTGTACCTGATTTATTGCATACAAAGCGTCAAGTTGAAAAATGACTTCATTAAAATATGAATTATTATTATTACAATATTTGAAAATATAAAAGTAAAACAGTATTTTTGTCAATTGAATCACATGTCTAGTCAAAAAAGCTCACCGATAAATATAATCTATACATATATAAAAGGAGATGTCCTGACTTACTCACTGACAGACAACGTACAGCCTAAACCGCTGGTCGTATGAACTTGAAATTTGGAGGAAAATTCCCCTTAATACGTAGACGTATACTAAGAACGGATTTTTGGAAATTCCACCGTGAAGGGGGTTAAAGAGGGTGAAAAAGTTTGTATGAAACTTCTTTGTGTCTATAAAAAATGGTATTTGGCTAGTTTATGACCCTAGAAAGGTGATTTCATAAATTTCATACCGAAAACTAGCACTGAAAGGGATAAAAATGGGAGTGAAAGATTTAATAGGGAATCAAAATGTCACCATAGCAACTATTTATTACAATCTGATTTGTCATTGTTGGTCATTGTAATTTATTAAATTTACCTAATATTATTTATATATTGTTTTATTTTATATTACATTTAACATGTTGCTCCAAGGTTATATTAAAGATATTGCAATAGGGATGATGACTAATTTTTGTTTGTTTGTCCGTCAGGTAGAGTGTTAAAAAATATTAAATACGTATTTTTTTATTTTTTCGTAATCATAAAATTACGGCGTTACATGGAGTTGAAATTTCGCATGACGTCACGTATTCTACTCAATGTTGACGTAGCGAGCCCCCACTCCTCAACTTTAATGCCTGTTATCTAAGCTATTTCTTGTTAAATTGAAGTAAAAAAAAATACGTATCTAATATTTTTCTATTATCTGACTGACGGACTAAAAAGAATTGCATTTTTTTTACCCAGTCATCATCCCTATTATTTATGTTTTTCGTCTCATCAGTGATTATTATATTGAGGATAAGTATTACTAGAGCTTAACCTAAGATTTTCAAATTGATAATAATATTACAATTGTTCATTCATATTATCTAAGCACCTTAGTATTGGTGTCCAAGTAAATATGTCGTGGCTAGATCGTAGAATTGACTAATTCATGATGCGGCCAGCCATTTCATGAAATGTTTGTATTTCATGAAGTGGAAAAATCTTGCTGCCCATATCATGATGTGGCCAAGAGTAAGTGATGATATCGTAAAAAGTTACGTAAGTCTTAGTAAGAGGCACTGTTGTCGCGTTGTTTTTGTGATACATTATAATTTTTTATTTTTTAGGTCATACAACAAATTAAAGAAAGTAGGGTAACGCAAATCAAATGAAGCAAAGGAAAATGATTACTTGATTATGTTTAGTAATATAAATGTTAGGAATATCAATTTTTTAGAGATATGAACTGAATTTAAATTCCTATATGATTCA